GCGTGAAAGTTGTGATTTTTTTCCTCCGCTCCATCGCGTATTTTCCTGGGATTGTCACGAAAACCAAAGCTGGAAATTCGACCAAATTAAACGAAATTCTCCTGGAATAACACGACGGGGGATTAAAACCCTCCACCTGGCGTATTTCATAGATTAACTTTCAGGTGTTCTAATTTATCATGTTTCAAAAATAACATCGAAAATTACCACAAATATTCGGCGAGCCGTATTTTCATTTCATTTCGCCAGATTAAAAAATAAACGCCATATTTATATTCAGAAAATATAAAATATTCCCTTGTTAGGAGACTGCTGAAGACTTGAGTTTTCGATGTGTGACAGGCTGTTAGCAGGACCAAGGAACCGTATATCTTTTTGCAATGAAAGTTACATAAAGCTGCTCTCGGCACACTCCTGAATTATTTTGCATAGCACCAAGCAAACCGAATAAGATCGGTTTTCTGAGCAAATATTTTTCAGCCTGTACACCTCTCATCAATGCGATGCTTATAAATTATAATGATAGATATAGGAGATAAAAACAAATAGGCAAAAATAAAAACGAGGTTTTTTCTTATATTTTGCATATACAGGTAGAGAAAAAAACAGTAGCTAACTTTTAGACTCTATTGTTTTTCGAAATGTAGTTTCGGATCCGTTCCGAAACAATTCTGAAATTTAGCAGTTATTCCACTCGCCTGTTGGTACCTTCAAAATTACGTTTTTTAAGGTTAGGTTAGGTTACAACTCTTGTCTTCTTTTTTTTTAATCTGATTATATCCCTGTTTGCTATTCCGAATCAATTTAATAGCATAGTTTTGGGGTTAAAACGAATAAACTCTATAGAAAGAGATTACATGTAAAAGTAATCTAGAGCCCGTCATAAAATTTAAAGTTCATACCTGAGACAATAAAGGCAAGCCACTATTAAAAATAGAGCCATCTCGCTAGGTTTTTATGGTTATCATAATTCGTCGACGATTTAAACTAGTTTTAATTAAGTGCCCTTTTATATTTTACCGAAAACATTCGCAAAGGTAATGAAATTTATATTAAAAATTATTTTCGTGCTTCGCAATCGAAGGTTTGCGGAACATCTCCGGATGCTTTATGTCGACTTACAAAATAAAAAGCGCATAGCGGAGAATTATTTCCTTTGTAAACATTTATCCTAAAGGAAATAGCAATCCTTTTGACTCTGATATATTTTTAAAACGACTGGGGCTTTTTTAGCATACCTCCCTTTTCAGAGGTAAAGCGCTATGACTTTTTCTAATTACAAGAGTTCAGAATATGGCAAAGTGTTATCAACAAATCTTTTAGTTCTCTTGAGGCTGACAGTTCAACAAATAAAATTTATACTTAATCTAATTGATTAGACTTTAGCTAGCAATAATTCGAAGTTAGTCAAAGAATGCCTAGAGCAGCTGAACAAATTAGGCAAAGAAAATGAAGTCCTCCTACTCTGGGTTACCAGTTCACCAAGGGATAGAACAAGCAAACGATCTAGCTAGAAAAGGAGCGAACACTCTACTAACTGGACCAGAACCATTTTCCTTTCCAAGTGGATATCAACTTAAAGTGGAACTCCAGAACCTGGAAGGCTCCATTCGGGCCCCCGGTCTAAGACATTCGAAGAAATTTCTCAGAACTTACGACCGAGAAAAATCAAAGATCTTCCTTGAGAACTAGCCTCTGTGCAGCCGTCTCAGATACTGACTTTTGTCAAAGCCCTGAGATTGTCTAATGAGTTTTAACTCGTTATAACTCATCATACAATGGTTAATCCCTCTCTCTCACATTCTACATTCTAGCTTTAGCTTTTCTCAATTTATTTTTACTTTGACAATTTGAGAAAGTTTTAGAGGAAGTTTATAAAAAATTCAGGAATTCAATACCAAATAAATAAGAAGAGTAGTAATGACAAAATATGGCTAATTGAAAAGTTTTAATTTTAAATGGACCGTTTCCAAGTTCAGTTTAATAGAAAACTGAAATAATACAAGCTGTTTCTCTCGTCTAGTTTATTATACAATCAATTCCTCGTTAAATTTCTGAAAAGAATTACGGATTAAGAATATTGATTGCTAAGCTTCTTGAATCTTAGGTTTTGTTCAAAAAATAAAATAAAAATATAATATAAACTCGGCCCGACTAAAAAGGGACATCATTGTTAATGACTCAATGGTTATGCAAATGAAAGAATAGTAATGAGAGAGTGATTTAAGCTTTTTAATTTAGGAACAGCCAGCTCGAACGGGTTATAATGAAAATCTCAAATAATATAGACTATTGTCTTTGTAACCTAATTTACAATAAATTTATTATAGAGCTTCTCAAGGGAATGAGCCTCTACCATCAGAGGTATGGCCTGTTAAATTTTAATGCCTTTCCATTTTGGTGCGCTGCAGTGCAAACTGCATTAAATATAGATAATTTATTTAAATTGCAAGCGTTTATTTCCGGATATCCAGAATCTTTTTAATTCATTACTTAGACGGCTAACTCAATAAATTTATATTTGAAGAACTCTATTAATATGTGTCAGTCAAGTTGGAATATAAAAAAGGTGCTAAAGCTGGCTAAAAATAAATTATTCGAATTAAAAATATCAATTGGAAAGTAACAATGATTTTTTAATGTTCTAAAGTGGCCGACGGTGCCATTTAAATCTTTCAAAGAGGCTTTCAAATAAAACGAAAGGAAATTTTCACGATTTAAGATACAAATGTTCATTAAAAGGAAATATTCATGCGACTGAAGTAACCATAAAATGGAGAAGGTTGAGTTGTTGATAGGCCACATTGACTGAAAACACAGTTATGTTGTTTTAAGATATCTCCGTCGCCTTCTTTTCCACTGGAACTGTTTTAAAGCAACGTCTCGACTCCTCGGTCTTTAAAACTTCAACTTGCTGGAAATATTTACTTTAAACTTCACCACAATAATAGATCTCTCCACGCGAGCTATAAACAGCGATAATTTATGTAGCTATTTATTATGGCAGGTACCATTCCACAAGCCTTTTTAGCAACTTTCCTTTATTCACATTAAAGGCACTTCTTAATAAATTAATAAAAAACATGTCTTCAAAAAATTAGTTAACAAAATATGAACTGACATTTTCATGTATTTTAAAGCCAAATATATTTTGTTCTAGTAGGCCGACTTTGATGATTTTTTAAGTAATTTGTAGCTAAATTATTTGACTTTTTAACCTCATTCTAAATTAAAAATTTAGTCCCCATCTGATTATAATATGAGAGAAAACAAAATGATTTTATTTTAGCAAAAACTTGGAACATCCTGTGGAATTGTTTAACAAAGTATGGATTCTAATGCACCTTTTCTCTATATTCTGTTTTTTTATTCATCTCAATATCTTTAATTTTGTTGGAGATATTCGCTTTTAAAAAGATATTCGCTTTGTTAGATCACTGTTATTAAAAAGTCATATTATTATGGTTTGTTGACAGTTACTCAGTTGATGGTTTTAAGTCCAGTGGTTGTAACAACTATATTGTTGTTTATATTGAACATGGTAGAGTTCAATAAAATTCGATTAAGTTGAAAAAACTCTGCTAATTTAATATTAGAAAAATATGTTTGAGGATTTTGAAGGAAAGAATAGAGGGCAAAAATATGAATCCCTAAAGCAATTAGCTTACGAGAACACCAAATTAACACAAAAAAAATTGTGTTTTTTTTACGGAAGCCAGTTAAAAATGAAAAATTCTTAGTCGAAAATAACCACCGCACTAAAAATACCGGAATAAAGAATCGAAACCATCTGTTTCGTGTGTGTTTAATATGTGCGAACTTCTACATTAATTATTTATGCTTTTTCATACGCTCTGTTTGGATGTTTCTCCTCAAATGCGCTGTTTTATGACTGGCGTTTTCGGTTTGAATTTTACATACTCTTTACATGAAAGACGACTTTGACAGGGGCGAAACAGTTTGTCAACCGAAATGATCTTTAAGCAAGTTAACATTCGCTTTTCGGCTGTGATTGTAGAGATTAAATTGTTACACATGTAATAATTTCGTTACATAGATAGTATGACTTATTTATTAACCGCTTTAAAAGGATATTAACGGTGGTCAGAAAAATCTGAAAATTACGGAAAATGTATAAAATTTAACATATTTTCAGAACCCGTCCACATCTGAGCTAGAATGTCTATGGTTTTAGGATGGGGCTCAGAAAAGTCTTCTGATATCTCCAAAAATAAGAACTTTTGTATCTATAATTATAAAAATAATATTTATAACGATCACAAAAATCTGAAAATTACGGAAACAGTATAAAATTTTCAGAAACCGACCACGTCTGAGCAAGAATGTCAACGGTTTTAGGACAGAGCCCAGGTAAGTCTCCTCACTGGCCAAAAAAACTTTTGTATTTATGACTTTAAAAATAATATTAATAACGATCAGAAAAATCTGAAAATTACGGAAACAGTATAAAATTTAACATGTTTTCAGAAACCGACCACGTCTGAGCTAGAATGCCTATGGCTTTACGATAGGACCCAGAAAAGTCTTCTCACTGGCCAAAAGCAAGAACTTTTGTATTCATCACTTTAAAAATGATATTAATAACTATTAGAAAAATCTTAAAACCACGGAAATGGTATAAAATTTAACATGTTTTGAGAAACCGACCACGTCTGAGCAAGAATGTTAACGGTTTTAGGATAGAGCCCAGGTAAGTCTCCTCACTGGCCAAAAAAACTTTTGTATTTAGTACTTTAAAAATAATATTAATAACGATCAGAAAAATCTGAAAATTACGGAAACAGTATAAAATTTAACATGTTTTCAGAAACCGACCACGTCTGAGCTAGAATGCCTATGGCTTTACGATAGGACCCAGAAAAGTCTTCTCACTGGCCAAAAGTAGGAACTTTTGTATTCATCACTTTAAAAATGATATTAATAACTATCAGAAAAATCTGGAAATTACGGAAATGGTATAAAATTTAACATGTTTTCAGAAACCGACCACGTTTGAGCAAGAATGTCAACGGTTTTAGGATAGAGCCCAGGTAAGTCTCCTCACTGACCAAAAATAAGAACTTTTGTATTTATGACTTTAAAAATAATATTATTTACGATCAGAAAAATCTGAAAATTACGGAAACAGTATAGAATTTAACATGTTTTCAGAAACCGACCACGTCTGAGCTAGAATGACTATGATGGCTTTACGATAGGATCCAGAAAAGTCTTCTTACTGGCTAAAAGTAGAAACTTTTGTATTCATCACTTTAAAAATGATATTAATAACAATCATAAAAATCTGAGAATTACGAAAATAATATAAAATTTAACATGTTTTCAGAAACCGACCACGTCAGAGCAAGAATTTCAACGGTTTTAGGATAGAGCCCAGGCAAGTCTCCTCACTAGCCAAAAAAACTTTTGTATTTATGACTTTAATATTATTAGCGATCAGAAAAATCTGAAAATTACGGAAACAGTATAGAATTTAACATGTTTTCAGAAACCGACCACGTCTGAGCTAGAATGACTATGATGGCTTTACGATAGGATCTAGAAAAGTCTTCTTACTGGCCAAAAGTAGGAACTTTTGTATTCATAACTTTAAAAATGATGTTAATAACAATCAGAAAAATCTGAGAATTACGGAAATAATATAAAATTTAACATGTTTTCAGAAACCGACCACGTCTGAGCAAGAATGTCAACGGTTTTAGGATAGAGCCCAGGTAAGTCTCCTCACTGACCAAAAATAAGAACTTTTGTATTTATGACTTTAAAAATAATATTACTAACGATCACAAAAATCTGAAAATTACGGAAACAGTATAAAATTTAACATGTTTTCAGAAACCGACCACGTCTGAGCTAGAATGTCTATGGCTTTACAATAGGACCCAGAAAGTCTTCTCACTTGCAAGAGAACTTTTGTATTTATGACTTGAAAATTAGTATTAATAAAAAATTCAAGCAAGAAATTTGAAGTAATTTTATAAAATTTTCTATTAAAGCGAGTTTAAATAGATCAACAACGATATGAAATATCTAAAAATAATATACACCAGTAATTAATAATTAGCGATGAGAACTATCGAATGAATTAGACTATCGAATGGTTCCTGAATGAATGATTTCTACTATCGAATAGTTTTATTCGAATAAAATCATTCATTCATTTGTATACTAAAGCATATGTGACAACCTCGCCGTGCGACTAAATGGTTATCGTTGCGCCACGAGCCACGACTATCGAATGCTTTTGATAAATGAAATTTAGTATTCGTTTGATTTTTGTGTGCGTCAGTGCATTATTAGTTTTTCCAAATTTTTATAACTTCGTCTTGTAAATACTATGCTATTTTTGCGTTTATTAAAATATTTAAAATACTAAAATAGTAGTTTTTTTTAATTGACGATTGTGTGCGAAGTGGTCAAAATTTTTCCGAAAATTTGTGTGATTTTCTGTAGCCCGATCTTTCAATTATTTAATTTTATATGGTATATTATGGTTAGGTTAGATTGCATTTTTTAATGGGAAATTTTGAGAAGTAGCAATTTTTAAGAGAGATGAGATGAACTTACAATTAATTTTAAAATACATATTTGTATTTTAGATGTTTTAATAATATGAATTAGTTGAACTTAATAATGATATTTAAGTAATGTGGTTAAGTAAAAAAGGTTATCGAACTCAAATTTTGGGGTGATAAAATTAAATTGAAAGTTTTACACGTGCCAATTTTAAAAAAAAGTTAACAATGTTTGTATTTTGTTTATTCTAATTCACTTACATGTAGTTTTTTGCGAAGAAATATTTCATTTATTTTTTAAAGTAAATGCCAGTAAAAGTAAATATTATTTTTAAATAGTAATTTAAAGTAATAAAAAGGTAGTATAAATAATTTTGATTTCTAATTTTTTATTTATATTTTCCTTCCATTACACTGCATGCTTAGAAAATTAATAAATGTTTATATTTCATGATTTTAAAATTTGTTGTTAATAGGTATAACAAATTATTACTGTTATTATTATTTAATAAACCAACGTTGCCATTTAGAGACTATATTATTTTTAAATAGGATCTAATATAAATACTTTTGACTTCTATTTGTTGTTTATATTTTGCTACTACTTAAAAAAATGTTTATATTATTAAATGATTTTAAATTTTGTTGTTAATAGGTATAACAAATTTTTACTGCTATTATTATTTATAAAACCAGTCTTTGCTTAAAAACATTAAAAATCATTTTTCTACATCCAAAATAAAAAGTATTATTGCAGTGTAACAACAGAATATTAATAAAAAAATGCAAAACATATATAGATATACTATCCCTAACTAACTAATGCTAAAGAATAATATTCTTTGTTAATACCAACTAATACGAATATATGGCAACAGCGCCCTTCATAATGTATTTTCTGTGTAAATACTAGCACCTCAATAAAAAAAATAATGTGTCCTTATCATTATTTGACTCCGCAAAAAATCAAAGACGCCGGCTTCTTTCATAGCATGGCCACCGACCGCTGTCGGGTTTCTAGGAAAGAAACCTACGTCGCCGGACGACAACTAAAATCCAGTTTATATTTTATTAAAATCGATCCTGACCGATAAATGAATTTGATAAAAGAATGAATTTTATAAATGAATGGTTTTTGCTGCCGAATTACTAGAATACAATACTTCAAGGCAGATGACGCATCTATTCGATAATTTTTATTCGAATAGTTTTCGACGAATGTTTTCTTACTAGCTATCGAATTATTCGAATGAATTGCAACTATCGAATGTTTCGATAGTATTCATTCGATAGTTCCCACTACTATTAATAATTCATATTTAATATGTTCTCTGTGGTCGCAGACATAATCATTTATTCCCTAATTTGGACATTATGACATTAATAAAATACGGGAATTAATAAGGGAGATTAGATGGGCGGAGGAGTTTTATAAAACATTATGATTCCCCTTAAAACTATTAAGAAAATACTTAAAGTATTCTTAGTAGGCCATCAATTATATTCCCCTTGCAAGTTCATAGGGTGCCAACATATTTTTAGACTCAATTTGAAAGTGCTACTATTTTTACGCTGTTAATGATATAATGAGCTGATAGTTATGCCGGTCTTAACAGCAATGCATTGTTTTTCTTAATTAATGATGTGGCAAGCAAGACAGCGTGATAAGTCTCTGACGTTGGACATAAGAACGGCACAGAATAAAAAATGAAAGTGCTTTCAAATTAAATTTGTTAGTTTTTCAAGCTCGAAAATGTCCAGTAGACCATGCCGTGTGGCTTTTATGGCCTTACTTTAATTCTGAAATATGTACATTCACAAAACTCGTTCCAAAAATCTGCCACATTCAGACAACTTAGGTATTATGTTTCAGTCGTTCAAGCTCATTTAAAATACGTTTATGGATATGTTTAGTTTCGAAATAAAAGTTTTATTAAAGCGGAACTTGGGCAGATAAAAATGATATAATCACAGAAGTAATTTCAGCCAGATCTCTGGGAAATATCCCATCAAAATTATGCAATTTTTCCCATTCCTAACTATTGATCCTATATCTACTGCATTCTAATTCGAAAAGTTTATAAATACACTCAGATGCAAAAAAACGCAACAGAAAATTTTTTAATTAAGTTTAAAATGCTACATTTCTTTTATTTTTGGCAAACTTTATATAGATATACTAGCGTGTACCCGCGACTTCGTTCGCGTCGAATTGTAATCTGTAATGGTGATGATAAAGCAAAGCAAGCATTTCCATTAATATACAAACTGGATAAAATTTTCTCAGGTTTATGTCAGCATGAGAAAAAACAATATGGCGATATTATTTGGTAATATTTGAGGGGTAGTTTCATCTCGTTGGAATTTGACTTTCGAAAAATCCGTTTGCCAAAAATAAGCTTTTTACGTCAAGCAGTTTAAGCAGAATCGTGATTACTCAATGGTCATATTTTATGAAACACCCTGTATAAATTTATAAAAGATCTTAAAGTGTTTAAGAGTTTTTCCGAAAAACTCACCGGTTTTTTAATAAAAAATATTTTAATATTTGAGGGATAGTTTCACCCCCTTAGAATTCGAGTTTCGAAAAATCCCTTCTTATCGAACCTCTACACCCTAAAGTCAATCTGTTTTCCAAAAATCAGCTTTTTACGTCAAGCGCTTTAAGCAGGATCGTGATTAATCAATGACCAGATTTTTCGAAACACCCTGTATACATTTTTAAAAAATCTTAAAATATGTAAAAAAACAAAATAAAATATACGTGTTTAAGCGTTTTTTCGGAAACTTGACCGTTTTTTAAATAAAAAATATTGTAATATTTGAGGGGTGGTTTCACCCCCTTGGAACTGGAATTTTGAAAAATCCCTTCTTATCGAACCTCTACGCCCTAAACAACCTGTATGCCAAAATTGAGCTTCTTACGTTGAGTGGTTTGAGCAGGATCGTGATTAATCAGTGAGTCACAAGGATTTTATATATTAGTATAGATTATTCCGTAATAAACTCGTGAAAACGCTATTGGTTTTGTATCGATGTATCGTGTTGCGAGTATATAATTAAATTTCTGGTAATCTGGCCAATCAGAACGTCTCCATTATTTCTGAATCTTGATGTTTTCAAACCAGAATAACAGAACGTTTTCCTTTAATTAACTCTAGTTGTAAACTAATTTGCCTTCATTGTACAATAAAGCAATTATCTGCAATGCAAAATTGAATCTGAAGTCCGTTTCCGCTTGTACAGACTCGATAGATATTCGATAAATTACCTATCAAAAAAGTATTCTAACTACAATGTCCTAATGAAAAAAAAATATATTCTTTCTAACAAATATTATTGCTAATAAAGGTTGTAGTAAAGCTATTTGTATTTTTCCGTGAATTATTTGTCGGAAATGGGATAGGAAAATGTGTAGTATGTATAGAATAACAAAAAGAGAGGATTAGATGAGAGGAAAAACCTGTTATTTTTGGGAAACGTGAGTCCCTATATAATAACAATTTCCGCCAAAATGCCATTCGAAGCCGATAGTCTATAGGGCAGATTTCCTTTGGTTTCTGCCCTAATAGACTTTTATATGACAACTTCCCTCTAGACTGTATTTTAAAAAAGTTTCTATGTCCCGCAGAATAGAAATAGTTAAATTATATAGCGCAGTGGCGCATCTAGAGATTGAGTCTGGGAGGGGTAGTGTGAATATTCAAAAAAGTACTAAATTTCAATTAAATTTTTGCTGGAAGGTATTGTAACTGTGGAAAAAATCGACTTGGATTGGTTTGGATATTCTGTTTTAATTTGTATTATTAACTTTTTTGTAACAATTTTATTTTATACCAAATTTTATCTTATTAAT